CTACCAAGTTGTTGTCATTCTCTTCCAGTCTTTATTTTCCTTTTAATCTGCGTTCTGTAAGTTAATTGACTAAGACATTGCACTATTCTATAACCTTTTCTCCCAATTCGTGTGTTTTACAGGACCTCAGGACGAAGAAAATGATTGATTCGGGGCATGAGAAGGATGGGCTATATTATCTGGATCCAGATGAACCTCCTCCTGCCTTATCATCAGCTTTGAGTACTACAGTTTTGCCTCTTCAATGGCATTTTCGTTTAGGTCACCCATCTTTGGCAAAATTACGATTAGCTATTCCTACACTGAGTCCAGTGTCTGTCTTAGACTGTGAAGCTTGTCAGTTTGGCAAGCATCACCGTAGTTCTTTTCCAAGTAGTAGTCCATACAGACATTTGGGGTCCTCAAACTGCTAGTTTGAATGGATTTCATTATTTTGTTTTATTTATTAATGATTATTCTCGAATGACAAGGTTATTTTTTATGAAAGAGTGATCTGAATTACCTCATATTATTGCTAAATACTATAATGAAATTTTTACTCAGTTTGGTAAATGCATTAAAGTTTTTTGATCTGATAATGCCTTGGAGCATATACAATCTACCATGAATTCATTTTGTGTTGATTGGGTATCATTCATCAGATTAGTTGTGCTCACACTTCTCAACAGAATGGTGTTGCTGAACAAAAACACCATCATCTGTTGGATGTTGCTCGTACCTTGTTATTCAATATGCAAGTACCAAAATAGTTTTGGGTTGATACAGTTCTTTTTGTTATCTCATTAACTGTATGTCCTCTGCTGTTTAATAATCAGTCTCCTTTTCTCTTTTATATCCCGATCTCTCTCCTTTCCAGCTCACTCCTCGTGTCTTTGGTTGTGTAGCCTTTGTTCATATCTTAGATCCTGGTCGTGACAAACTGTCTCCTTGTGCTCATAAGTGTGTTTTTCTTGGGTACTCCTACACTCAGAAGGGGTATCGTTGCTACAGTCCTAAATGTTGTCAATACTTTGTGAGTGATGATGTTACTTTTTTTTACTCATCTGCTTTCTTTTCATCGTATGGTCATAATTTATCTTCTGATCTCATATCTATTCGTGAGGGGGAGTCTTCTATATCTTCTCCAACTCTCCCAATGCCGATGCTATTAGATACACATTCTAATCCTCCCTTGCAAGTTTACCAACAATCAAAATCTCAGCCCGTTGTTTCTTATACTCCGGCCACAACTTCTTCTCAACCAAAGGTTCCTGTTCCTCCTTCATCCACCTCTGCTACTGATGATTTACCACTTTCCTTACGTCGAGGTAAATGTACTTGTACTCAACATCCCATTGCTAATTTTGGGTCCTATAACCGTGTTCCCTCCTCTTTGCAGTCTTTTGCTTTAGCCTTGTCCTCTATCTCTATTCCATCATCTTATCGGAGGGCTTTATCTATGTCTGGTTGGGAACATGCTATGGATGAGGAAATGAGTCGTTTTCACTAGAATCAGACTTCGGATCTTATTGTTCTTCCATCTGGGAAGCAAATTGTAGGTTGTCGTTGGGTATACACTATTAAATATCCACCCGATGGTTCTATTGAGCGGCTTAAGGCGCGGTTGGTTGCCAAAGGGTACACGCAAACCTATGGGGTTGATTATTTAGAAACATTCTCTTTTGTAGCCCAACTTAATTCTGTACGGGTTCTTCTTTTTGTGGCAGCTTGTTGTTCTTGGCCTTTATATCAACTTGATATAAAGAATGCTTTTCTTCATGGTGACCAACCAGAGGAAGTTTATATGGATCAACCACCTGGTTATGTTGTTGCTGGTAGTGAGCACCTAGTGTGTCGACTACGGAAGGCTCTTTATGATCCAAAGCAATCTCCTCGTGCTTGGTTTGATAGATTTAGTGCTATGGTGATTGAGTTTGGCTTTCAGTGCTCTACTTCCAATCATTCTGTCTTTGTTTGTAGCTCTTTTGTTGGCACTATTGTTTTGATTGTCTATGTTGATGATATAATTATATCTGGGCATTATTCATAAGGTATTGCAGAGTTGAAAAGACACTAGTCAACATTTTCATACTAAGGACTTGGGTGCCCTTCGCTATTTCCTTGGGATTAAAGTTGTTCGTTCTCGTCAGGGCATCTCACTATCTCAACGGAAATATGTTCTTGATCTGCTATCTGAGATTGGTCTCTTAGGTGCTCGACCAGTTGATGCTCCTATGGACTCTATGGTCAAACTTGATGGCGAAAATATAGCGTTTGGTTATGTTGTTGCCGGTAGTGAGCACCTAGTGTGTCGACTACGGAAGGCTCTTCATGATCCAAAGCAGTCTTCTCGTGCTTGGTTTGATAGATTTAGTGTTGTGGTGATTGAGTTTGGCTTTCAGCGCTCTACTTCTAATCATTCTGTCTTTGTTCGTAGCTCTTCTGTTGGCACTATTGTTTTGATTGTCTATGTTGATGATATAATTATATCCGGGAATTATTCATAAGGTATTGCAGAGTTGAAAAGACACTAGAGTCAACATTTTCATACTAAGGACTTGGGTGCCCTTCGCTATTTCCTTGGGATTAAAGTTGTTCGTTCTCGTCAGGGTATCTCACTATCTTAACGGAAATATGTTCTTGATCTTCTGTCTGAGACCAGTCTCTTAGGTGCTCGACCAGTTGATACTCCTATGGACTCTATGGTCAAACTTGATGGCGAAAATGGAGCGTTCTTTGTTGATGTTGGCCGATATCGGCGTCGGGTTGGGAAATTGATTTGTCTTACTGTTACTCGTCCTGATATTGCTTATGTTGTTGGAGTGGTTAGTCAGTATATGCATGCTCCTCATCAATCTCACTTTGAGGTTGTTTGTCGTATTCTCCGTTATCTAAAGGGTGCACCTGGGATGGACTGTTGTATAAGCCCTCTTCTTCTTTATGGGGGTAACATGTTTTAGTGATGTTGACTAGGCTAACAGTCGTTTTGATAGGCAATCTACATCTGGTTATTGCACCTTTGATGGTGATAATCTTGTTACATGGCAAAGTAAAAAGCAAGCAGTCGTTGCTCGTTCTAGTGCTAAGGCTGAGTATCGTGCTATGGCTCACACTGCCTCCGAGATGTTATAGGTTCGCTCTATTTTTCAGGAATTGAGTATTGATGTTCCTACTCCAATGTCAATGCATTGTGATAATCAAGCTGCGATTTTCATTGCTGGCAATTCTGTTTTTCACGAGCATACCAAGCATATCAAGGTAGATTGTCATTTTATTCGAGATTTGTCGATGCGCAAACATATTGTAACTCCCTAGGTTTGCTCTGAAGATCGGTTGGGTGATATTATTACAAAACCACTTGCTCGTACTACTTTTCGGCGCATGTGTTCCAAACTGGGCATGTTGAATTTGTATGCTCCAGCTTGAGAGGGAGTGTTGGAGAGTGTGAGTTATTTATTTTGTTCATTAAGGGCACTATTATACTTTCATCTTCTCAATATATAAAAATAGGTGAGAGATGTGGGAAACCCTACCGACTCTCAAAAACCTATACAGATTTTCTCTTTCTTCTTTCTTCCTCTTCTTTTTCCTACAACCACACATGATTCTTCCACTTTAACTATTTACAATGATTGCCTCTATTTATAGGTAAAAGAATACAAGTGATAAATATGGAAAATAAATGGAGGACCACTAAAATCAATCCCATAAATCACTCCAATCAATATTTTATCATAGGCGAAGACCACTCCTATAATATTTTTTCCCTTTTCATACACAATACAATGGTGGAGACTCCACTATATAGGAGAAGAAATTATGAGAATGGAAAGAGATAGGGAAAAAAAAAAAAAAAGGGGGAGCATTTTTCTCCATTGATTCCTCTGGTAACAATAAATCTTCAATAATAGGAAACAACGTCAATTACTGAAGGATTTCCTCCAGTGATTCCTTTATTAAATCTTCAATACTCACCCTCAAGTTGGAGCATGAATGTCCAACTTGCCATTCAGATTATGAGTAGCAGCAAGTGCAAATGATGACGAGAGAAGGCAAGTTGATCCGAAGATTTGAGACGAGTTAATCCGGAGATCTGAGATGAGTAGAATATAGAGGAGGGTATGATAAACCCGCTCTAATACCATGTCAAAATTGAAGAGACAAAAAAAAAAATGAACACAAAGATATAACATGGTTCAACCACTAGGGCTTACATCCATGACATAGATCCCAAAGGGCTACACCACTCCTGTTATATTTTCTCTTCAAATTGTTTACAATGAGCACCTCTATTTATAGGTGAAAGAATAAAAGTAATAAATATGACAAATATATTGATGGAGGATTCCTAAAATCACTCCAATCAGTATCTTATCATAGGCTAAAATCACTCCTATAATATTTTCTCTTTTCAAACACAATACAATGGTGGAGGCTCCTCAATATAGGAGAAGAAATGATGAGAATGAAAAGAAATAGAAATAGGAAATAAGGAGGATCATTCTGCACTGATTCCTCTAGTAACAATAAATCTTCAATAATAGGAAACAACATCAATTGGAGGATTTTCCTCTACTGATTCCTCTATTAAATCTTCAATAATAATTATACCAATAACTAAAGGAAATTAGATTGACGGTAGGGATCAATTTGTTAAACACATGTAATTAGAAGGGTGGAAACTGTAATTATCCAAAATACAGGGGAGGTGAGTGTAATAAACCCTAACGACTGGGGAGGTAAATGTAATTTACCCACACAAAAAAAAAAAAATTGTGAAAGCTCCATGTAAAATAGGATTATTTTGTAATATCAACCAAAATTCTCATACTGATCTTTTGTATTGAAATAAATTGCAGAAGAGCATTTTAGAACAACCCTTCCAGCTGAAGAACATAGTGTCAATTAGAATTGTACCCAGTCTGCCCCTCCGAACACCCTTGCCTAATAGAGATCTCACTAGTAATGGCCTAATAGTTTAATAGATAAAAAAGAAAGTTGATTGATGAGTCTAACCATACCTCAAGTCCAGAATTTGAGGAGTCACTAATGACGGAATCAGAATCACTAGTGTCATCATCATCTGCCATGCTAGTTGAGAATTGAGTATACCGTGAGACAAAGTAACTTGTGTCATCTAAACCATCTGGGTTTGGTACAAAGGCAGCCTGCACACAGTCAAGTAATAAATTATTAACAATATAGAAAATATGATACTAAAACAAGAAAACAAGCACCTGAACTGTGCAATCAGTAAATTTTATAAAACAATAAATGTATGTCCATTCACATGCATGCCAACAACAGCAACATAAATGCACACAAAAAGCAGAAATAAAATGAACGCATTGGGAGGTAAGTTGTCATAAGGCTCAACAATGTACTAATTTCGCAGCATTGTGGATTCATGCACGACATTTTCAAAGCACTTCCATGAACTTATCCTAACTGGAGAACGCACTGAATACACATAAAAGAATGACATTAGATTTATTTTCTCATTATTGGTCATATCTATAGAACTTCAGAATTGGGCCCATAAACTGAAAATCCGTAACCCCAATTGCTACTGGAATACTGTCTAGTGACTCTAGTTAACTTATATTTTATTCAGTAAACCTCATTATCAGCGCGAGGTTGAGTAATTTGGAAGCTCATAAAGTTCATAAACTTGAGGGCACGAGTTTGAGCATTAGTTGTACAGTTAAATAAACAAACAAGAGAGGCATGCATCCCGACCTTCTGTAATGCAAGGGTGTCCCAGTTAACTCCCCTGAAAAATGGATGAGCTTTGACCTGTAAGAAAGTAAAAAACCAATCTGGAACACTTAGTTTATCTCCCAATAAATCATATCGTTTTAGTTTATCTTCTAAGTAATCATATCGTTGAGACAACTAGTCCATATTTTAAATAATCATTAAGGTGCAGACGATGTTAATTTGTCAATAACAAAATTTAAACACAGAAAATACAACCTCAGACGAACCCTTGGCTCCAAGGCGCTGATCTGGATCATGAACGAGAAACCTATAAAGGAAAAGATTATGGTGTGAATGAGATATTTTAACATAAATAAATCCGTTTACAATTTTCACACAAAAAAACACAGGCAAAAAGCAAAATGGCAAGAAAAAATTTGTATGGCCAACCAATATATTTTTGGCAAATTTCTGCAGAGTGAATCAAGACAAATTACAAATTGTAGGTCAACTATGCCAAAAAAAATGTCAGAAACAATATACTTGAGTTACATATGAGTATGAGTGGGAATCTATAATGTAAAACTATTGGGAAAAGTGAGGGTTGAATGAGGGATCATGGAATATATATACATTTAAAAAGAAGACCTTAAAGTGGTTCTAAAGTTTGATATGATACTTGGAACAAGACCTTTAGAAGGTTTATGCATTTTAGAAAGGGAAACATATAATAATGCTGCAAAGAAGAGATGATTTGATCTAAATTGAAGGTATTAAAGAGAAAGACAGGTAGATAATGATACTACTTGATTCAATAACAGGAGATATAAAATTCTCAATCTCTAACCAAAATGTAGCATTTGTCATGCAAAATGGTAGAACAATATATGCAGCACTGACTAATAGTTAGTCTAATCAATGCAAATAAAAGGATACTAAGTGGAGATGAAAATTTTTTAAACTCATTTGTTGGCATAAAGGCTCCCTAACCAAGCTTAACTTGGTAGTTTTGGTGATTCTAACTACTATTATGTGATCTAACTATCTACTTGAGTGTGTTTCATTTCAGATAGACATTTATACTCAGGTACATAGGAAGGTTCTTAGCGTCCATTCTCACAGTCAAGGAACTCAACATCAATGAATTATTAGAGGTCAAGGACTTAGGCAAGTGAGTTGATCCATGAAGCACAAGCTCAAGTTCTCTTCATGAAGTACAAAGATCAATTCTAAAGAGAGAAATAACAGACGTCTTGCCAAACTTATTTCTCCTTATGAGCAGCTAGATGTCTTCATGAGACTTTACGTCTCCTTTCTCAGTCACACCAATAGTCACATGGATATCTCCTAATGAGATTCATTTTCCCCTAATTCAAATCAGACTAAAGCTTCAAGAAAAAGCTTCCCTTTACGTCTTCCCAAGGTCAGCTGTTCTGACTTTACCACTTCCCCACACAAGTCACAGAGTAGTCAATCAGTTCACTTTGGTATTTATTGCCGCGAACACACTGACACAAGGAAGCTTGTGGTGATGACTCAAACAGCTCTATTATCTGAATTGAGCTGGAAGTATCAGCTTCTTTGGACAACAGTTAAGCACAAGTCAATCGCTAAACGACACACGAACATCACATAAATCACCAAGACGCCTTACATGAAGAACTCTCTTTTCAAATAAACATCTTGCACAAATAACTCCCTTTTCAAACCAACTTCTTCTCCAAACAATTCCTCACGTACTCCAACGGTCACAAATTCAAAAAAGGCTACAAATACACTTCTTCCCCAACGTCTCAAACTTGAGAGCAGTAGTTATACTGACCTCCACCATAGATGCATATGGTTTGAGTGAGTGATAGAGAGTACAGAACCCAGTACACTGGATTGAGCTTGAGTGTGAGTACAGAAGCCAGTACTCGAGTGAGAAAGAGTGAATTGAGAGAGATGGGGTATAGAGACCAATACTCTAGGTGAGTTGAATGTGAGTGAAACAGAACATACTAACCAGTGCTTCTGTTGGTGTGAAAGAGAGTGAGTGAGCGTAACAGAGCACATATATCAGTGCTTCCGTATGAGTGAAACAAAGCATATACCAGTCCCTCTGTTTGTCAGATTGAGTGTAAGTGAGTGTACAGAAACCAGTCCACAAGTGAGGATGAGTGAACTGGGTGAGAAAGAGTACATAAACCAGTACTCTAATGCGAATGAGTGAATGTGTGTGAAACTCTTCATATTGCATCTTCACCATACATACCTTGAGTCGAGCTTTTACTTTGAAATACTTATTTTGACTCGAAGTTGTGAGCTTAACTGTTGTATCAGTCCATTCAAGGGACATTCATATATCTTGTTACCTCAAATCTTCTGTCAACACTTTGAGAGAAGTCCAAGTGGTTCACTTGGCAACTAGGCTGCTTGTGGAGCATGGTAAAGGTTACTTCTGAGCCTGCAAAAGAGAAGATGGCCCTTGACATCTCAAAAACAAGGAGAGTTGTGCTCTTCATCCTCAAAAGGAGTGAGTTACTCCTCAGCTCGTTAAAAGGGGGGTTTGATCGTCACCCGAAGAGAAGCAGTTAGTGGAATCCTTGAGAAGTTCTTGAGAGTTGAGGCATGGATGTATGTTAGCATGGGTTGTACCGAACCATGTAAAAATTCCATTGTCTAGTTGTTTGCATTTTTCTAACTCATAATCTTACTTGCCTAGCTGATCTGCTAATTTGATTATATTGTTCCTAATCTTATTATACCATTCTGCATCAAACTGTTTATAGGCATGTTACATAAGTGTTGATATAGTTGCGGTGAATATGTTAGGAAGGAAAGAAATAAGAAGCTTGAACTTCTTAAGTGATCTTAGTTGTGCTAGTTCAATGTAAGCTATCCTTGTAATATGATACCTAATTAAACTATTGTACATGTTGAGAACGTGCTTACCCAGAATACATAATTTACCAAATCTTCAAATGTTCACAATGAAATATTCATACTGTAGGAAAGAACACCATAAAAGATTATTGTGATCTTAAAATTAAAAACGATAAAGAAATGAGAGATCGGAAAATGTACCATAGTTTGTTAGAAGCCCCATACATCCCCCTCTAAGGTTCTTGTTTGGGTAACATCATCCAATATGTAACATGTAACAACCGTATTTTGTATTTAATTAATGTATTATATATATGTAGATGTGTATGTGTAGTTGAGTGGATAAAGGATTTACATTCAAATTTTGATTTTACAAGATTGTTATCTACTTGACTGATAGGATAGTAGGGATAGATAGGAATAAGTTTGACCAGATGTTTACTAAGGGGATAATTATTTTCTGTTCAGTGCATTTAATCAAGAAGGCTTCAGTGTAGAGAGAGTTTCAGGGAGAAGGAAGTCCGAAATTATCAGGAAAGTATTTCCTATGCATGATGTTGCTGATAGAGCCTAGTTTTCGTAACCAGAAAGAATTACCAGGGAAAATTGGAAATAAGAATGTGTTGGAGCAGGAAACTTACAACGAAGGAATGAGCAAATCAGGAAGTAATTTCCTGCCTTCTTCTGTATGTATAACATTGAGAATTATTATTTATTATTATTGTTTTTTGTCAGTATATTAGAAATATGAGTTAGCAGTTAAATGAATTAGGCTAAATTGTTATTCATGGAAGGTTGTGTATGAGTGATCTGCCTCTCTCTCTCTCTGATAAGTAATTGGAAGATGCCTAAAATATATGGGTCCATATATTGGTGTATAGGCAATAGGTTGGATTCACAGAATACTAATGGAGCATTTTAGAAGAAATGGAGGTGTTATTCATATTTAGAATATATATAGGTATAGATTATAGATGGTTTCCAATAGGAAATTCGACTAATATATACGACTGTTGACATAAAATTCTGGAATTTTAGATCTGTCACAATGGAATGTTTGAATTTATTTCTATTACTGACGGAACACTTAAAAGAGAACTGAAACAGAATTGGAATGGAAGAAGACGTGTTTGACTAATTTAAAACAGTGCATTAGATACAAAATATAATTGGGTCTATAAGAGTTTAACATAATTTTGGAGTCTAAAGATTGATTAGTGGAATTACAAGAGACAAACCACTGGGGTTGAGGTGTAATGGAATTACAAAAGAAACCACTAGGTAGAGGTATAGATTAATATGTGACAAAAGTGACAATGAAGACACGACAATATGTTGTAGATAAATGACTAAGGTTAGTTATCCAATAAGAAACTACACACACACACACACACACACATATATATATATGTATATATGTAGTCTTAGGCTTGTACAGCACATAATTTCGTGCATATAGATGATTGGGCATACACTTACAGTATATAAATGCACATTTAATAGGTGTATTTGAACTACTTATTATTACAGTGAGCATGGAAGTCAAAGTCTGAATTGTATAACTGTCTTTGTTGGGTTGATTAATGAAGCCAAACTCTATCTCATTAATTGTAAGTGTTTATTAGAAGCATGAAAATCATGTGAGTGTAATACCAGTAAATAACTCAAGTAAAGAAATTGGGAATATTATATTATTTACCAAGTTCAGAGTACTTGTGAAACCAACTACTTAATGATGCAAGAAAATGAGCATTTTTTTAAAAATTAAAAAATAAAAAATTATACTCCCTGTCACATATCAGTAGTGCCTCTTTCCTTTTAGGTATGTCCCAAATTAGTTGTCCCATTTGAAAAAATCAGAGCAAAAGAAATGCTATCTTTCCATATTTACCCTTTAAGTTTTCACATATCTCAAAACGTAGTAATATACATATTTAAACTTAAAAGGACAACTTGGTAATTTTAAAAGGAGACAATGCATTAATTGCATGTCCCCTTAAAAAGTTCTAATAACAAAAGTGGACATCTAATATAGGACGGAGGGGGTTGTATTAAAAAGGGTTGGAGGAATCATAAGTATTAACTTAAAGACAAATACGGATGTGTTCCATCTTGAAAAATGGATGTGTTCCTGCATATGTATAAACGGATGTTTTCTTTATTGAGCTACTGGATATGTTCCTTCAATTTTTTTTTGATAAGTAAGATTACATTGAAGAAAGGATCTCAAAAGGGTGCTCCCAGAGGAAACAAAGCAAACCAAGATATGTTCCTTCATAAAAATGATTCAGTTAATCAGTATTGGATGTGTTCCTTGAGTTTGATATTGGTCATGGAACCAAAGAACAGAGAATCTTTAACATCTGTTTTGTCACCCATGGAGACCGAGCAAGAACGAGATGAGATCCAAGTAAGAATAGGATCCAAGCAAGGAGATCAGCAATAGGATTCTTTCCAAGCAAGGCTATGCTATGCCATACAATCGATGAAGCTGTAACCTTTTTTTTTCCCCCTTTAATAGAGAGAAATGGTGGAGACTGGGTGAAGAAGAGGAAGACGGGAGTTGGGTCTCAGGAGCATTTTTGCTCTGATACCATGTTGTAAATAAGAGCAAGAAAATAGAAGAGAAGATCTCTTGTATATCCCTTAGATGTGAGTACAAGTGGGTTTATATAGGAACCCAAGCCATACAATCAGTACATTAATTTAGCCAATTACCAGAAATTAAGCTAATCAAAATACTATAATCAAGCTAGCAGATTTTATGCATCAGAATATTCCTATAATCAAGCTAGTAGATTACATGTAGCAGAATAATCAACTTATCTAATTAATTACAGGCTGTAAACAGCCTATATTCACGACAATACCAAGTGATTAGATATTTTATTTTGCGAACTCAAAACACTATCAAAATTTTCTGTTATTTCCTCAGGACAAGTCCATTGCGTCCTCTGATTCGTGTAATAGCAAAATAGAAAAAGATAAATAATACCAAGCAAGTGTTAACAACGCTCTCACATCCTATAATTTTACATCTAATGATTCAACTGCTCCTTAATTCTTCCATAATGCTGCCAAGTCTTAATATTTTTCATACCAAATTTCTGTCACATTCATGTGATGAACATAATTAAGCAAAGTCAAACTCTACAGAATACTATTAATCGTGGGAACCATTTCAAAATGCTTGAGGCACAGACTCGTTAAACAATTTCAAAGGAGGATAAACAAAAATCAATACTGATGTATCAAAACCACAAAAACAACACAGAAACTAGAGTCAAAAGTTCTATTAACCAACCTGTCAATCAAGTCTTGGGCCTCATAAGACATGTCTTTAGGAACAGAGGGCCAGGGGATTTTCCTGTTAAGAATGTTGTCGAAGATAATCTGTGCAGCCAAGATGGTGCAAATGTTAAAACAATTATGTTTCTCATCCCAAGTGGAAAACTACAACTATATTAAGTACAACCACAACCTTATCAAAACCTAGTGCACATAAGAATGAGCAAGTAATCGATAATCAGTAACAAATAACAATGTAGTTGTAGCAACCAACACACCACGACATTTCTTTTCTGAACTACGGCCATTGCTAGTAGTAACAACTTGTCACGATCCATTGGTTCATATAGTTCCTCAAGCTTAAGGCAATTAAAAATATCTGCCAAGTGAGAGGCATGCCCAACATTTCTTCTGCAAATCTTTTTTTTTTTTTTTTGACAAGTAACATTTCTTCTGCAAATCTTTATTTCCCATTCATGCAACATTTTATGAATTAAGTTGCAAATGTTGCACTTGAAACAATTGTTGAGTTAAAATTTGAAACCTGACATGTTTAATATCCTTTCAAAAACAACAATTTGAAATAATACAAGTGGATAGTGGATGAGAAACAAAACAAACACAAACATAATGACTTTACTGCTCTCTATTCTCTACCATGCACTGGCATCCAAAGAAATATATACATGAACAGATAAGTCCAATAATAAAGCAAACCTCTGGAAGTTCAGCATTGAAAGGAGGGATGCCACAGATAAATTCAAATAGGATAATTCCCACTGACCACCAGTCTGCAGCATAACCTGCAGGAATGCCCAGGAGGTCATTCAACTGTCTAATATACTGAAAAACATTCACATGCAGATTGTGTCCAAACCATGCTCAGTTCCCAGAAGAATCTCAGGTGCCAAGTAGTCTGGTGTGCCAACAGCTGACCGCTGACTTCTATCCTCTGTTTGTTGATTGTGCAGCCCATGGGAGTCCGCAAGAGCAGTTCCATTTATCTCGGGTCCAGGTAAATCGCCTGTGCTGTTCATAAGGCCAATCTTTGACAATCCAAAATCTGTAAGCTGGTAAACCAAGTAATGATTGGTATATCATGTTGAAGATGTAAAGTTAAAATATATATGGTATGAACGTATACGAGTCATGACTTCATACAAGGCACCATTGGGTGGAGCCATATAGGAGGGAAATTTCCATAATTCTTCTGGTAGTTCTTGTTTTTTATAAGTTTATTCAAGGTAATTTCTATATTTAATCCAAAAATTGTAAAAGGTTATCTTAAGACTCTGCAAACATTCACATCAGTGGCGGATCCAAGAATTTATTTTAGTGGGGGCAACGCCGAACAATGAGAAGAAAATATTTTTTAGCAAAATAAAATTAAAAGATCTTAAATATTGGTTGACACCATTTTCATTCAATAAATTTATAATAGTTCCTCAACCAGCTTTTATGTTTTGAACATTCAATGATAATTTCTTTTGATATATGAAATACTCCCAGTAAATTGCAAGACTCTATCGTAATTTTAATTATTTGAAAAACCGTTTCATAAAAAGACCAATCTATTCTTAATTATTATTATTATTATTATTTTGATAAGTAAAAGAAGACCAATCTATAAATGTTGACAAAAATCTTATCCTTTTCTGTTATAACCAAATATGAAATTTTTATTCACGAAGTGTGAGATTGGGTGAAAAAAGAGAATTAAGGATTTTCCTAATTGGCTTAGTGTCAAGAAATATATTGAAAAGAGACTTACATGGCTCTCTTTTCTCCTTTTTGTCTTGAAAAAAGAATGATAGGGTGAAAGAGAGATGTCAATGACTAACATGGAGGAGATTGACTAGATGTGAGTTGTAGAAAAGTGATGTGCGAAGAGGTTTATGAGACACAGATATAAACTACTAAAAGAACGTGTTGAAAGGTCCAGACTGAAGGCTTTTTTTTCTTTTTTTGGAATTATTTATAGTGGGGGCATTTTTTTATTTTAAAAAATTATATATACAAAAGTATAATTAACAAAAGTTGAGTGGGGGCAATTGACCCCACTCAACCCTATCTGGCTCTGCCACTGATTCAAATTATTCTAACCACCTCCAGTAACGGAGAAAACATCTGCAAGAGGTTTTTCTCATATGTTTTTAACAAAAGGTGGAAAAGAATTTTTTTTTTTTTTTGATAAGTAACAAAAGGTGGAAAAGAATTATGCAAGTACTTCTAACTTCAGAAGACATCTTCTCAAAGCCTGAAGAGAATTTATGTAACAAAGTGGAAATTGAAATCATCTCCTCTCTTTAATAGCTAAATAATGTTTTTTTTTTTTTTTTAATACGACATTCTATAGGTATTCAATATCAAATCTCAAGTTTGTTTTTTGTTTTCGGAATGTCAATGCAAAATGAATATGAGAAATTAGAAACCACATGGAGCATTAATTAGGTGGCCATTGCTTAACAAACAAATGGCTACAGAACCAGGAATAAAAAAAAATGGCTACATGCAAGGCATACTACTAAAACTATATGGAACTCTTAGTATATGTTAAAAACTCATGATATTTTATACAGTCTATCAACCAAACCTTGATATGTCCATCATGTGCAATCAATATGTTGTCCGGTTTCAAATCACGATGCACAATTCCAAGAGACTGTAGGTATTCTAAAGCAAGAACCTGAAAAATGCAAATATCAACTAAAAAAACAAAAAATAAAAAATAAAAAGAAGACGACTAGCCAAGAAGCAAAAAACTTATCCATGAAATGATTTTAAACAAACCAGTTCAGCAATATAGGTACGAGCTACATCTTCCTCAAGGCAACCAACTTTCTTCAGCAAAGAATATAGATCACCTCCATTAAGATATTCCATAACCAAATAAAGGTTGTCCCTACTGGTGAATGAATAAAAAAATCGAACCTGCAAAAGCAATACCATATATTCATGTCGTGAAAATCAATATGGAGCATTGAAAAGAATCAAATGTGAACAATTTTTCTTAGGAAATCAACTTTTAAAAAGGGAAGAGCTTCGATAAGAAATTTAGATAATTAATTAACAAAAAAATGCAGGAATTGGAAGCTTAACTACGGGGGGTGTCTGAGTATCAACTAGGGGGAAAAAAAAAAAAAACTTAACTACATGCAACCTGAGAAGCACATATGGGTCCAATTTCAAAACACAGATCAAATTCTATATTGACATCATTCAAATATGGTAAATGTCCTAGCTGAAGATAAATTTAGAATTCCATATTACCACAAAAGGATTTCGAACTGTTATCAATATGTTACGCTCTGCCAATATACGCTCAATATCATTTTTCCGTATCATATCCAATTTCTTGAGCTCCTGCATAAGTACAACAATCATGATGAGAATCTACACCAGAAATAGCATATAATACAAGTTCAAAATAACAATTAGTTAATTAAATAAAAGATACATATCAAAGGTGTGATTTTTATTTTTATTTTACCAAACTTGTTAGTTAATGATTGAGAATTGAAGCATAAGCAAAGACTTTCGAGCAAAGTCATTGTTGATAAAACAAACTATTAAGTTTATTGACACAACTAAAATTTTGATTGTAGTCAAATGTTTGACACGGAAGTACCTCTCAGTCTCGCCAGTGCACTTCTTAAGAGTCTTCAGGTATCGTATTGTAATTTAGACAGAACCAGATAAAAAGGAGGTAGTGGCTAAAGAATTATACATTTAAGGGGGAAAAATAAAATGAAAGGAGGCAGATAAAAATTCAATCATCAAAGAATATGACTATATACATTTTTAAAATAAGTAATATTACGATATACATTTCTAATTCAATATAATATGATAATAAACATTTCTAATTTTGACTCTACGCCATTGTATTAAGGCAAGAGATAAACAATTGAGGCAAATCTAGCCCCCAGACAAGCTAGGACATGAGTAGAGACTATCAATGTAATTTCATATCTAGTTGGTGCGGAAGGGGAAAAAATTAAAAATAATAATTTTTTTTTTGTAAAAAAACTTCAGTTTATCCACCCTATTTTGATTTAGTTCTACAGATTGAATACAATCAAGCAGAATCAAATTTGAATGCTACGGAAAAAATTGAAAACTCAAAAACGAAATAGAAAAGATACAAAATCAATAAAAGAAGGTGGGTGGGAACAGTGGTGGAGTCATGTTGGGACCAGGTCATTTATTTATAATTTTTACTTTTAAGTTTTGATAATTCTAAAATTGCCCCCACTGAATTTTTAAAATATTCACTAAAAACCTTAATAAAAACTTGTAAATGTCAAAAGATTCCTCAATTTTTAAATCATTTGCTCAATAAGATTTTTAAAATTCAGAAAAAATCCTAATTTGCTATTAAATTTTCTGTTATTTATATTTTCTATACACGAATTTTGATAATTATAGAAGTGCCTCGATTCAACTCCTAAAGAATTCGCAAAAGACCATCAAAAAACTTCCAGTTTTCAAAACTACCCTTCATTTAACTCATTTGCCAAACAAAATTTTCAAAATTCAGAAAAAGACTGTCTTTTCTCCTCTGGGGTCCCACAAAACTTTTAAGAATCAAAACTAAAAAAATAAAACTATGCAATTTTTCATTTTGGTTCAATTTTTCTCATCATATTATGGTTAATGGTGCCCCAACAGACTTAAATTCCAGGCTCCGCCACTGGGTGGGAAAACTTATTAGATACCATTTGACTTTGGTAGTGTGTTATTAAAGGCCCAAGGCGCACCAAGGCGCTAGAGGTCCTTTGGAGCCTAGGCACGAAGCGCACAGCGAGGCGCGCGTCTGAGTGAAGTGAGACGCACAATTGAAAATTTAAATTACTATAAAAACATTGATATCTCATAAGTCATATCAATATTCTAAAAATTAATATCAAATATAAAAAAGTAAATCCATCAACAAAACAAGCATCCAACAACCATAAAACAGAGCACAAATTTGTTTTCTTGAAAGGCAAAGCAGGATTTGTTCTTTTGAATGGCAAAACAAAGCACAAAAAGAAATAAATTTGTCAAGAAAAAAAACTGTTAACAAAAAAAAATTGTTAACAAGAAAAGAAAAGAAAAAACACAGCCAAAAAAAAAAAGATGCATAGACAGAAGTAGATGTAGAGAGAGAAGTAGACGAGAAGAGAGAGAAAGTGTTAAAGAAAAAAAAGGAGAAAAAACAGAGCCCCCCAAAAAAAGACAAAGAAGAGAACTAGACGAAGAGAGAGATATAAACAAAGATAAGAAGAGAGGAGAAGATGAAAGAACTGATGTGGCTTCGTCGTTCATCTCTGCAACTAGGGTTTCGTCATTGGTCTCACGGTCTCACTCTTTCTCTGTTCGGTTGACACTTTGACTCTTGGGCTTTCTTATTTGTTTATTCTTTTGAACAAAAGTTTCTTCTCTCGTACGTTTGGACTTTCTTATTTGTTTATTAAGTTGCCAAAAGTACCCTTTTTGACTTAAGAAATAGAATAATCATAGTTTTTTTAATAAAAAAATCAGTGAGGCGCACCTGACAAACAGGACAAGTCGTAATCGAGGTGCATGCCTAGTAAACATCAATAAGCCTGGGATGACAACAGGCGCTAGACCTGCGCCTCGAACCTAGGCGCGTCTTTAACAACACTGCTCTGGTACTTAATAAGTTTTACCTATTATTGAATTTGAACCAATGACACCCACCCTATGAAAGCAACACTCTAACCACTGAGTTAACTAGATCATTTATCATCAAAAATAGAACCAACCCATCACATCGATGAATTGTGAATATCATATTAATTATACGCAATAGCTGCTAAATCATGGAATATTAATCTTGGCAAGAAATTACATACATGATAAAATATGTATCACAAACACTAAGGGCTATAGCTCAATTAGGTAGAGCACCTCGTTTACATGCGGGCTAATGTTTTTTGGGGGAGCCTATCATGTGGGTAAACAGCAAAAAACCCTCAACTTTCACGATTTTGTAGAAAACCTCCCTGAACTTCCGTTTTTTTTCACGATTTCGTACCCAATGCCGTTTGCGGACAGTTACTATTGTTGTCGGGGGCTTATTTGTTATTACTTATATAATGTAGGGTGCGTATGTGTAATTTATGAAACTTCTTAATATAAATAGAATGTGGTGGAAGGATGAAAGTATTCTCTCTCTTTCCCCATCTCTCTCTCTCTCTCTCTTTCCTCTCCTCCTCTTTCTTCTCTTCTTCATCTTCTTCTACTTTACTCTTGTTTTGATTATAGCTTAAAGTCAACAACTATAATGATGGAAATTTGACATTTTGAACCTGAAATCTCTATTATACCCTTCTCTATTGATGGGTGAGACTTGAACCCTCCACCTTATGCATAAAAAGGAGATGAAATATCATTTGACTACGCATTGGTTCTAGTCTTTGTGAATTTGTATATATAACTTTAAAAATATATATAAGTTGAAAAAAAAAAAAAAAAAAAAAAAAAAAAAAACTATAATCTTTTTTAGGTTCACGACTCCACCGGTAATGTAAATGGGTCATACATATTTCGTATTTTATATATATATATATATATATATATATATTCCTAAATTTTGTGTCATTGAGGGTTCTTTTGTCATTTTACAACCAATGTTCTTTTTATATTTCATTTCTTGAGGGGTAAAATGGTAAAATAGAAGTACGTTAACGGCATTTTAATTGGTTGGGGGTAAGTAATGACTTTCAAATAACTGAGGGGGTTAGTTGCATAACCGAGGGGGTCTTTGCAAAACCGAGAAAGTTGAGGGGGGATATTTGTAGTTCTGATGTAGAACGGCTAGCTCATGCACATGATCACCGTAAATCAGGGAAGCTGAAACGGTAAGGAGGGAAATAGAAGATATTATTCTCCACGGTAAGATTTAAGGAGATTTGGTGTAGTTTCCAACAATAGAAGATATTATACTCCATTACAAGATTTAAGGAGGATTCTGCACCATCAAATCTCATATTTCCCCAACGCATGCTTTATTTTTATTTTATTTTTGACTTGCCTATATTAAGAGAAGAGATGTAAGTCTGCAGACATCATTATTATCAATATAATTTCAGTTTCTCTCTTATGAGTGTGTTCTTTGTGAATTCAAGGGTTTAACCCTATTCTTTATCGTTTCTGCTACGTTAGTTGGTATCAGAGCAAGGTTCCGAATCCAAGATTCGCCTTTGTTTCGATGGCTGGTTCACAAGATGGAAGCAACCCCTCCAGCGACGGTGATCGTGATGGAGTAGCTCTTTTGAGGGCTTAGTTTACTAAATTCTAGACCAAAGTTAATCAAACCTTACTTGATATGCATAAAACTATGCGTCAAGTATTGGCGAGATTGACAACGGTAGAACTTAACCGCGAGAACAACAAGCTGCCCAACAACGGTGATCATGGATGTCCTGCTGGTAATCGCAACCCAAACCCATCGAATAGGCAACCAGCCTATGAGGAAAATGTCGGTTTTGGTCAAGGGCAGATCCAGCATTTCTGAATGGGGTGGGCTAACTTTGGATTGGGTTACCATTATAATTTTCTTTTTTTTTTTTTTTTTTTTTTTTGGGGGGGGGGGGGGGGGGGGGCGGGCGGGCTAGGCTGAAGCCCACCTTCGCCCACCCCTGGATCCGCCTTTGGTTTTGGTAACAACTGAGCCATGCAGGTGTTTGGAGATAATCGAGGTCGATGGGAAATTGATGATTCCATGGATTTTCGTATGAAGATTGACCTACCCACCTTTCAAAGTCATCTTCGTATTGAACAATTCTTGGAATGGATTAATGAAGTTGAACGTTTCTTTGACTATATGAAAATCCAGGAGGAGAAGCAAGTCAAACTCGTGGCCTATAAGTTGAAAGGCGGCGCATCAGCGTGGTGGGATAAAGTGCAAACTACCCGCGCATGCGGGGGTAAAGATCCGGTACGTACATAGGTTAAGATGAAGAAGTTGATGAAAGCCCGATTTTTAGCCCTGATTACGAGCAGGTTCTTTATTAGAAATATCAGTCCTGCATGCCGAGAAGTAGAACGATTGCTGAATATGCTAAAGAATTTTATCGGTTGTCATCCCTTAACAACCTGGTGGAACCCGAATTTAGCATAGTGGCCCGTTTCAAAGGCAGGTTACGAGGGAATATTGAAGAGAAAGTGGCGTTGCAACCACTATTCAAACTGTCTGAGATTGTCACAGCGGCACAGAGAGCAAAATCGTTACTGGAGAAGTCGAAGAATCGGTCTTGTGGTTCATATAATACCCCACGTCCTACACATGACATGGGTAAACAGACCGCGGTAGTCCCTATTCCAATGACATGGCGTGGCATTGGAGATGGTCC